AGTCAGCTCTAGCTGAGAATCTTTGGTCTAGACCCTTTTATTGAGTCTACTAGGTGATATTGTGTACTTGTTAGTACATCAGGAGACACATGATGTTAGGTTATATGGAACCAGTGATGGTGATGTTCAGTGCAATAACTTGGTTAAGTTGGTAACCAGCAAATCTCTCTATTGTGATTAACTAGTAGTTATGGAAGTACTTTGAATCTGTGTGATCATTGTGTTCCAGCACAATTTTCCACCTAATAACTTTAGCATCTGCTGATGGTTCTCCCTCGAGTCAGTACAGTAGGGGGTGTAAAATGGTAATTTTCTAATTACTTTCTTGCATATATACCAGGTGAAAATTTACTATAATGAAGAGCTTTCTGCTTTATTCAGTTTTTGTCCTCTCTTCTCTTCGTTGCTGTTTTTACAATACCATTCTTGATGGGTGGATTTTTTTTTAATTCATTTTTGGCTGTACTGGGTCTTCGTTGCTGCTTGAGCTTTCCCTAGGTGTGGTGCATGGGCTGCTTCTTTTAGTGGTGTCTCTTGCTGTGGAGCACAGGCTCCAGGGCATGTGGATGTCGGCGCAGGCTCAGTAGTGTGGTGTACATGCTTAGTTACTCTGCAGCATGTGGGATCTTCCTGGACCAGGGATTGAACCCCGTGTCTTCTGCATTGGCAGGCAGATTCTTTACCACTGAGCCACCAGGGAAGCCCCTGGATTTTTACTAATTGAATTGTAATTCTTTGTCATCATTTTTTTTTAATGTTCAAATTGTCCCAAATTGACCAGTGGGAGCCCATTCACACTAATTACTATGTCATTTGTGTGAATATGTAACCCACTTACATGGTTCAAATCCAGAGCATGTAAAAAGGTATACTTAGAGAAGTCTCACTCCTATTCCCTTTACCCCTTTCTCTGTGGGTATGCATTTTCTTGGCTTCTCAGGTGGTGCAATAGTAAAGAATCTGCCTGCTAATGCAGGAGGTACAAGAGACATGGTTGGACCCCTGGGTCAGGAAGATCCCCCTGTGTGGGAAATGGCAACCCAATCCAGTATTCTTGCCTGGAGAATTCCATGGACAGAGGAGCCTGGTGGGCTACCGTCATGGGGTCACAAAGAATAGGACATGACTGAGCATACACACACACAAGCATTTTCATTAGTTTCTGATTTATCTTTTCTGTGTTTCTTATTTTAAACTAAGTAAAAAATGTGTATATACACACAAATACCTTATTTAATCATGTTTTCTTACCAAAAAGATGGCATCCTATGTACATTCTTTTGTACTTTGCCTTCTACTTAACAGTATATCATGAAATCACTATCAGTTCATATAGATGTTTGCTGTTTTATGGTTGCATAAAAGAGTATGTGTTATTTAGTTGATTCAATGTCCATTAGTTGATTCGGTTACCATTAGTATGTGTCCTTTAGTTGATTCAGTGAATTTCTTCCACAAAAAGGCATTTATGCCATTTAAAATAGTTTATAAAATGTTTATACCACAAACATAGACTTCCCTGGTGGTTCAAATGGTAAAGAATCTGCCTGCAATGCAGGAGACCCAGGTTTGATCCTTGGGTCAGGAAGATCCCCTGGAGAAAGGAATGGCAACCCTCTCTGGTATTCTTGCCTGGAGAATTCTATTGACAGAGGAACTTGGTGGGCTACAATTCATGGGGCCGCAGAGTCAGGTACTACTGAGTGACTAACACTAACTATATACCACAAATAATACCACAATGAATAGCATTGCGAATATGCTGTTTTGAGTTTGTGGATGCATATCCTCAGGACAAATTCCTAGAAGCAGTGTCGTGGGGTCAAGGGATAAATTCATATGTAATTGTGCTATGTACTGCCAGCTGTTCTTCAACAGTCATACCATCAGACACAAGTTAAGACTGCTTTCTTATAGCCTTGCTTGTACAGTGTATTATAAGTTTTTGAAATCTTGCCAATCTGATAGGTGAGAAATAGTATGTTACAGTAGCTTTAATTTGCATTTCCAGCATAATGACTAAAGTTAAGCATCTTTTCTTATGCTTAAGGGCCATTTGTTTCATGTGATTTTTAAAACATGTCTCTCTCTTCATAATTTCCTGGCTCCTGTTACTTTGTACCTGGAATTCTGAAATAGTCATCTCACTGGTTTCTCTGCCTACAGCCACACTCCCTGTCAGCTACCCTGAGCATATTAATAGCTATTGTAGTTACAAAATTAATCTTCTTAAAACACCTCTTTAAAAAGCATTTTTTTTCTCCTGTAAGAACCTTCAATTATTCCCTTTTAGCCACAGAATACTTTTAAACTTATGAGTCCAGAATTCAAGTTACAGTTTTCATGCACTTCTCTAAACTTCTCTCTGCTTATTTATAGCCTTATGTTCCTTCTGCAAAATTAGTGCACTCAGTGTCTAATCCATGACAGAAATTGTTGCCTCCAAACCTTTTTTCTTTCATTTGTCTAGTTCTAAAGCCCTTCCTGGGATCAGTCCTGGGTGTTCACTGGAAGGACTGATGTTGAAGCTGAAACTCCAATACTTTGGCCACCTGATGCGAAGAGCTGACTCATTTGAAAGACCCTGATGCTGGGAAAGATTAAGGGCAGGAAGGGAAGGGGACGACAGAGGATAAGATGGTTGGATAGCATCACCGACTCGATGGGCATGGGTTTGGGTGGACTCCAGCAGTTGGTGATGAGCAGGGAGGCCTGGAGTGCTGCAGTTCATGGGGTCGCAGAGAGTCGTCGGACACGACTGAGCGACTGAACTGAACTGAAAGCCCCTCCATGGTGAAACCCTGTTCTTTTATCTGTCTTAATTCCATGGAAACTCTACGACTTATGTCAAGTCCCATTTTCTTAGAAGCCTTTCTTAATCACTTGAATGCCCGGGGGGTTTCCTGCTTTGCTAAATTCACTTGGTACATATATTTATCCCCTTAATTAGTTCAGTTTAGTTTAAATGGTCTGTTTTTTTTTTTCTTTTTGCAGTTACTTAAAAATTTTCAAATTCATGTATGTTTCCCCCCAAGAGTAGGAACTACCACTATTTTAGTAAGCAAATATTAATCAGTTTTCATCATCCACTTCTGAGCCAAGATAAAGGCATATTAACCTCTATTTTACTGATAAGATAAGGAAGTAAAGAGATCTTATGCAATTTGATTAAAATCAATCATTAAGTCAATGGTGATGTAGGTATGGGCCCCAAATCTTAGGTGATAGTTAATTGTCAAGTATAAAAATGATCCTATTTGCTCACCCTCTCAATTAATGAAGAGATATAATGTAGGATGCTTATGTAGATTTATCTTATTTAAAATTTTTATTTAAGGTATTGGTTAGAAAGACAAAGAATTTGACATTAAATCTTAGAATAAAATGGTATTATGTAAAATGCTATTTTGAGCCTGAAGAAAGGCCCATAAACACAATTTGACTAGAGAAAATATATCTAAATCCCTTTGTGTTCTGAGCCATGCATCTCTGTTTCGAATTTGGGAAACTCTCAAGGGTTTGCACATTTATTGTGCTTTTATTATACTTTAGACATGCTGCTAGTTCTAGTGGGAGCAGAGTGTATAAGTCACAGAGTTTGTTTGCAAGTATTGATAGTTTATTGTCTAAGCAGAAAGATATGTACACACCAAATATTACACAAATCAGCAGTAAAAGGTATGATCATTGGCCTGCAAACAAGGAGAAACAAGAAAAAAGAATTCAATTGGAAAGATTAATGAAAGCTTCAGAAATAAGATGATTTCAGCTAAGGCAGTCCCAAAGTAAACAAGGTCCAACATTTAGAGACTTCGTAAATTAAGAGAAATTTTCAAATGAGAAATTAGCAGATTGTTCTGCGTGACTCTGTGTCACCCTCTCCTGTAATCCTACTGCCTTGGATACCTCTCTCTACTCTGGCGGGCTGACTTGCAAAAGACACGGTTCCAGGTCTGCCATTTAGAGCAGCCAGAGGGGTCCTTCCAGCAGAATCTCAATCACATTGCCTTTGAATTCCCTCTGCTGTGGCCAACACTCTGCACACAGTAGACAATTAAAGTTTCTTAAAGGCGTGAATGTAGTCTTTTAACAGCACTTTGTAAAGTGAATCAGACTATCTAATTTATCTCTTTATTTTTTCAGAGTGATTCTTTTGGATTTTGAGTCTCTAGATGGCTAGGGTCTTCCATGGAATTTGTTTCCCAGGGAAGATGGCTCGGTTTCATCTTTAACCGAATCAACTAGGGGAGGGGTGGGTACAATGTAGATCATGGTTGTCACTGTTCCCAGCCCCGTGCCAAGATTCTCACTGATCCTAAATAAATCCACACACATTCATCCATCCCTTTAAACTTTTAAGAGTCAAAATCATAGGTTTGAGATTTTACACACACGCCCGTGCAGGTACACACACACACAAACATATGCACACACCCCTCTGTCCATGACGCATAAAGATGTCAGCATGGGCACCCAGTACACGATAGCAAAGGGGTAAAAAGAGACCACAAAATTTAGCTGGGAAAATGAGCAAATGAGCTGGGAATGGGCAGATATGGTCTGAAATGGGCAAAAAAGTGAAATCAAGATTGTCAAAACATTTATCCTTGCTCCCTGCAAGAAAGACCACCTCTTGTCTCTTCATAAGAAACACTGGGAATTGCTCATCTTTTAGATTTTAATGCTTTCATTACTTAGTGTAGATCTGTTTTTGCTTTCTAAAAAATTAGTATTTTATCTTTAAATGTCTTGACTCTAAATGCTACTTCCTTCTTGTGTGATTGTCCTTTCCTAAAGTTGAGTTTCATGAAGACAAGTGACCTATCCATTGCCTCAAAAGGGAGTATCTCTCTTGGTAACCACGTTTGTGTTAGAGTTAGCCTACATAATGGATATTGACAATGACAACAATGACAAGAGCCCCTGTTGAAGGAATGACAGGAGAGGATGTAGGAAGGACACAGTTGTTTCAACTCTAACCAAAAGGGAAGATGACATACCCAAGCTGCATCCCAGACACCCTTCTTCACAAGACACACATTCTTCATAGTCTGGGTCTTGGATTTCACCTACACAATATAAAGAGAAATAAAAAAGCACAGTTTCACTTTACTTTCACTGAATGGAAACACAAATAATTGCTATAAAAATATGTTGGTGTGTAGCTTATTTTCAAGCAAATTGTAGAGCAGTTATGAAACCCTAAACCATGCTTTGGAGATAAGTATGTCACCCACATTTTTTATCTCCTTCTATTAATTTAATAAATATTTAGTAGATTGGATTAGCTTGATTGGGTGCAAGTAGAACAGAATTAGACTGTATGCCATGCAACTAGTTTTGAAGTCAAGTTGGTGTGCTGTATCTATTAAAGAAGTAAGTTCTGTTTCGAAAATGTGGTTGGGTATATAAAATGATGAAGCTCTGTCTCCTTATGTCTGTTGTCATAAATACTTTTTTAAAAGTTTTAAATTCTATACTACCTTAGTAGGACTTTCCAGATGACACTAGTGGTAAAGAACCCTTGCAATGCAGTAGACTTAAAAGACGCAGGTTTGATCCCTGGGTTGGGAAGATCCACTGGAGGAGAGAGCATGGCAACCCACTCCAGTATTCTTGCTTAGAAAATCCCATGAACAGAGGAGCCTGGTGGGGTATACAGTCCATAGGGTTGCAAAGAGTTGGACATGACTGAAGTGACTTAGCACACACACACACACACACCCCTTAGTAAGCATTAAGAAGAAAAAAAGAAAGAGGTCTTCATTATTCTAGAAATGTGCTAAAGCTCCTTCAGCACCAGACCAGGCATAATTCTTATACAGCAGAGAAAGTCTGCAGCATTTTATATGAACAAGAGCAAAATCTATATGTACTGTTTTTTAATTCCTTTCTTGCAGTGTAAGTAGGAATTGAACAATAACAGTAACACATATATTCCCAGAACATTTTTGTATTTCCCGGTCATTTTAAGTTGGCTAATTCTCACTGGTTCCTGCCAGCAAGCAAGCACAGAGCATGCTATGCTCTCCCTCTCACAAATGAAGAAACCAAGGCATGGAGAAGTTAGATTGATTTTGCGCAGGGTCTCATAACTAGTGATTGGAAAGGAGAAAATTGTGGGCCAGGACATTTGAATTCTAATCTGATTTTCTCTCCATTGTACCTTTCCCATAAACCCTCCACTGGAGTTCACCTTCTATGTATGTGACTAGCTTCATGCCTTAGTCCTTGGATTGTGTCTAAGGAAACGCTTGGGGAAAGAGAACAGGGTAGGTATCACTGTCCCCACTTGTTGTAAAGAGTCGTGGGAAATCATCCAGGTGTGACCATTGCACCAGGTAGATAGATGCTCAAGTCTCTGGGGCACCCAGGGTACAGCCCCTTTTGTCTGCAGCGGCTCCAAGGCAGCTTTACCTTGTCCACATTCTAACTTCTGGCAGCTGTGATTGGAGGGCATCACGAAGTAGCCGCGCACACATCGTGTGCAGACGCGTGTGCTGTGACAGAGCTCACAGTTGTCTGGGCAGGGCTGGCAGATGTGGCCCTCGTCAGGGTAGTATCCTGGGGGGCAGCTCTCTCGACACTCCCCCCGGTGCAGGAACCGCTCTCGGCCACGCTTGTCTAAAGAGAACGGAGCAAAATGAAAAGAGGGAAAATGTACAAAATTAGCTATGAAGGTAACAATAGCTGAAGACATTTTGTTTAAAAGATCTGACCAAGTGCTTTTACTCCCAGCAGATCAAGGAGATAAGAATGGATTGAATGAAAAATGCAGTATCTTTGAACTTTTATTTGAAAAGATTTCCTTGAAGTTCTTTTGGTATCAGTGGAAGCTCTCAGAGTTGGTGACTATAAAGATCCCATGAGAATAAACAAGTGCTTGATGCATTTTCTATGATAGTGCAATCTTTTAGAATGATTTTGAATTCTGTTATCAAAATCACATGCTTGTCTTAATTGTCTAAGGACTGAATTTTTGCACAACTACCAACTCCTGTATTGACAGCCTACTGAAGCTCTCAACCAAACACCCCTCTTTGACTCCTTTGCATGAATTCCTGGAAGTCCTGTCAACATTGGACTCTACAAGGAAAGAATCGGCAGTACCCCCAGTATGAGACTGGGAATTTGCTCCTGTGGAGAATCCAATGTTGTCACTGGAGAAATGGATGCAAACTATCATAATCAATGCAAAAGGATTCTAATCTGTTCTAATCACATGCTTAAATACACAAGATTAATGTAGATGCACCTGAAAGCCTCTGCCCCGCACCCCGCCGACCCCTGAAGTTTTCACTTGTGCTTCGTGTGCCCAGGGAATCTGTCTGCTATGAATCAGGCCTCCCATGTGCTTCTACTTTTGAAAACATCTGTGTTCCCTAAAACAACTGGATCTAGAGCTCACTCATCATGTGATCTACCACATGAAGATCCTGAACCATTGACCCTTGAGAAGCAAGGCTGCCAGATTTTTTAAGATAGTGCTGGCCTCATGTTACAAGTGCAAAATCCAAAAGTCAGAATGATATTAAATTGAACCACATGAAATTGCCAACAATCAGCTGTTTTTTTTTTAACCTGTAAACTAAGCACTTTAAAAAGGTTTCACCTAATTTTCTTATTTAATTAAAGTCCTATTTCAAATATAGTTTAAAAACCACACCCTTGAATTATGAACTCTGAAGCTCCCTTTTTTTTTGATGGCAGTTTCATGCCAGAAGTCTGCTGGTCCGTACAGGACATGGAATATAAAGAGAGCCTCCAAAGAAGTGGTTAAAAAAGAAAAGTGTTTGCAGTCTCCAAGTTAGACCTGGAAGAACATTATCCTCTAAAGGAAGGGAGTGTTTGGGAGGATGCAGCGTGCGTTCGGTGATTCTGCATCTACAGATCAAGGTTTGGAGCACATGACCCTAATCTGGTGGGACCTGGAATCTCAAGAGGCCACACAAAGGTCAACTTTCCAAGTTGTGTTCTTTTCAGTCCACCATTTCTCATTGAGAAAAGATCCTGCTTTACAGAGCGCCAGCCTTCCCACACGTAGATAGTAAGATGTGAAGGCTACCAGTGAAAAGCCCACCCTATCCTCCACCTTCCTGTCCACCCCCTACACCTTCATTTGATGTCAACTCAGGATCCAGAGGCTTGGGGACAGCTTGGCATATGGTTATGAGTTTTAAATATATGTTTGTTGAATGATTGAATGAGTGAGTGAATTCATATTTGTCAACATTCCTGTTTTTCAAACATATCCAACTGGATCAACAATCTTAAAAATGAATGAAGATGATTTCAGATATTAGAAGAAATGTTATTCAATTCCATTTTGATTGTTCAGATATGGCTTTGTTATTTGAACCCCTTTGTGTATTATAATTTGGGCTTAAAGGACAGAGATTTAAAGGGTCTTGTTTAAAATACATGGACTGTGCAAAAGGAAATCACTTAGGCACCTTCAAAATGGCAGGCTTTACCCACCTGCTTGGTCAGGATTATGCCAAGATTTGATCATATTTCTAATAGCTTGACAGCATGGCAGCTCACTTAGTTTTGGGTGATAATTTGGATACCTCAGTGATTTGCATATCATACATAAAATTTTGGCTACTTGCCCAGAGTCTCAGAATTTAAGTTCCTGTAATGATATGTAGGAGAAGCTGGTTCTGATAGTAGAAGGGCTGATATTTTTGTTAGGTGCCAAACCTTTCATGTGGCAATGTGAGATGAAAGTTAAAAAGCAAAGAACTCCCAGAGAGGTTCAAGTTGGCTTTCATTTATACTGAGGAGTAATTAATTGTTTTCAGAGTATATCTTGGCAGCTGATTTTGTTAGAAGGGAGGGTGGACCAATGTGAAGTCATTGGATGTTTGCCAGAGGAAAGGAAGGTCAAAGGTTGCAGGCAGGATGGGAACAGGATTACTGGGAAGGAAGAAAGAAAGGCTGAGGACTCTGAAAATAAACTTTATAAAGTTTACTTCAACATTTTGCTTACTGCAGCTACTGTATAATTGGTAGAATTTAGCTTTGGGTTCAGTTTGGTAGAGGATAAACTGGGGTGAGAGTCTAGAGTGAATTTTCACCAGTAGAACTAGCCTTCTGCCTTTCCAAAAGGATTCAGACCTAACTTTAACAGAGTTACAATTCAGCAAGAGGTGAAATTTCTACAAAGAGTTGGGAGAGGCTTATGTGTGTGGATGGGGTTCGCTAGCCAGAGGAATTTCAGCCTTTGAATAAAGCCTCTTGATACAAAACTGCATCCATTCCATCATCTATCTTCTGTAGCACTGAATCATGGATTAGCTGCCCTAATATGTGGACTTGGGATATTGCACTCTTAACAGGCAGAAAACCCTGCTAATCAGAACCTACCCAACCATCCCCTCTTCAGGAAGCCTCTTTTGCTCACTATAGCTGAAAGTAGTGACATGTGGTAGGGTTACTGCCATTCATTCAGTCTTTATCTAATATCTTCTCATTTTATAATACATGAGGACAAACCTCTTTGTTAGGTTGTTAACTTGAATGTGAGTATCATATTATCATTTACTGTATCTTCCATGGCACCTATGTAGAGTTAACTTATACACAGGAGTGGCACAATACATTTAAAATATTGTTATTGAAGTCTAGTTGATTTAAGTGTTGTGTTTATTGCATGCACTTGTGAGCCTGACAGTTCTTCAGTCCTCAAAACCCTTTCTGATGGGATCAGTGGTGTTATTAACAAATGTAAAAAAAAAAAAAAATGTGTTTAATTTCTGCTGTATAGAAAACTAACTTGGCTAGAGACTGAAATGCCCATAGAAATAAGTGGGTACAAACAAAACAGTAGTACTAGTAATAGTAATAGTAATAATAATCATTACTAATATTTTTTGTGTGCTTCCTGTGCAGTTCACCTTGTTCTAAGTGCTTTATTATTTTATCTCATTTCATTTTCATAATAATCCTAAAAGGAGGCAGCCATGATCACTATCTTATAGGTGAGGAAGGAAACAGAATAAGCAGGCTAGAGGTAAAATTGGTCAGATATACTTTGTTTACAAACACAAAGAAATCATTTTAATTTACACAAAGATATGTGTTCTCCGTCATTTTTCTGCAAATGCATGATACTATTCACTTATTCATTTTTCTTTGTTTTATGACAAGCAAGAATAAAGCTAAATAATTCTTTCCCACCAGTAAAACCATGTAAATGCCATGATGATGTTAACTGACAGCCTCAGGATCAGTGAGACAGCTGGGAGGGGTGGGGACTATGGCAAATAGAGAGCAGCCTGGAGGTCTCCAGTCAGTCATTTGAGGACCAGAAGGAGCAGTGTTGCCAAATCTTCCAAGTTTTCAAGAGAAAAAAATTTTTTAATTTCCCAATTTCGTTCAAATTTTTTAAGTGTAGGGCAAATAAAATATAAATCAGGCCCTGATTTTTAATTTTTTTTAATTTCCAAATTTCATTTTTTAATAATAATACATGAGGACAAACCTGTTTGTTAGATTGTTAACTTGAATGTAAGTATCATGCTATCATTTACGGTATGATAATGCAGTAAATTTTTAATTTTTAAAAAATTAAAAAAATTTTTTTTAATTTCCCAATTTTTAAATTTCTTTTTGTAATTTCCCAATTTCATTCAGATTTTTAAAGTGTAGGGCAAATAAAATATAAATCAGTCCCTGAACCTATTTGCAGGACCGCAGTGGAGACGCAGACATAGAGAACAGACTTATGGATATGGGGAGTGGGAGGAAGGAGAGAGTGGAATGAATGGAGAGAGTAACATGGAAACATATTCATTACCATATGTAAAATAGATAGGCAGTGGGAATTTGTTATATGACTTGGGGAACTCAAACCAGAGCTCTGTAACAGCCTACAGGGGTGGGGTGGGGAAGTTGGCAGGGAGGAGACATAGATATACCTATGGCTGGTTTATATTGATGTTGGGCAGAAGCCAGCACAATATTGTAAAGCAATTATCCTTCAATTAAAGATAAGTAAATTTAATTATGTAAAGTATAAATCAGTCCCTCATGAAGTCGAATTTGGAGACAGGCTTCTGTAAGGAGGCTAGAGAGCAGGCAAGGGCAAAGTGCAGAGGACCAGAGTGATCACAGAATGTAGTCTAATGCCAGCAGAAACTTGAGAATTGCGGCGGTCTGGGACAGAAAAGGTCATATTTGTGTTTGGAAAAGATGACCCTGCCATCCTACAGGGCTCTGACAGCTTCTAAGTGGCATCACGCAGGGCTGAGGGAACCCTGACACAGCCTCTCTTAGGCTGTTTCTCCTGAAGACTGAATGTGTCTGTCTTAATTTCCTAGCTTTTCACTTTCACCTCAGTGAAGCTTAGCTTTGCTGTCTAGCGCATGCCTGTCATCATGTTTGCATGCCCTTACTTTCTCCTTCTCTGGAAAAACATCTCTTAGCTTCTCTCTCACCTCCTCAGGGGAAGTAGGTCTGTGTCTCTAGCAGTGTGAACTTAATGTTCTGACAATAAGCAGAAACTCCAAGGCTGTACGTACTCTTTAATGAACAGCTGTCTAATCTCACCCGCCTCTTCCCCAGAGATGAGGCTTCTGAGTCAAAGTAATGTCCAGTGGGAGAGCAGGTTGAAGTTAGGGGAAGAAATGAGCAACCAGATTCTCTCACCTACTCCACAGGAGGTGCAGCTGGAAGGCCCATCTCCTTGGCATTCTTGGCAGGTGAAGTGACATGGATGACACTGGTTCCTGAATTCAAATTTGCCCAAGGAACAGTTGAAAACGCAGCGGCCATCATCAAAAATCCTAGAGGCAAGCAGACTTAGTTTGTAAGGGCAGCATTAAGTATTAGAACATGTGGTGTTTGTGTTTTTCTGCACAGACTTGGTTTCATTGTTCCAGAAACAAGGGTGATGCCTGGGACTGATCATCTTAGAACATGGGGAGAATTAGTCACGTACCCATCCTTGGCCAAAGATTTGGACCCAACAGCAGGCATTCCAGGAACCGGCTGTAGATGTAATCTTGATTCTTGTTTCAAACAAATTAACCAGTGCCCTGGGGGGATTAAACCCACACTGTAGGCTCCAACCAAACCCAGTCAACACTCGGATGGGGTCTTTGAACTTTAAAGGCACGTTAGTGGTCTTTGAATCCAGAGGCTTTCGAGAAAGTATCTTTCTCTAGTTATCAATGTGCCCACACTTTGCAAGGAAATGTCAAGTCCAAGGGCTCTTGAAGAAGCACTGTCCTGTAGTTTAAGTGCTACTTACAAACTTGGCAAGTAATCGATGAACTCTGATTTTGAGTGTCATTTTTGCAAGTGTTTCCTGGTGTATAGGGTACCACAGTCTCTATTTTCAGACTGTGTTTGCCATTACCTACAAGGGCACCACAGATAAGTTAGTATCAGGGCTTCTAAAACCTTTGGTTTTATATACATGCAATATATATATCATAATGTCATGGTTAATATTTTCCAAGTTTTCTTTCTTCTTTCCCTTGCAAAGTAACCCCATGTGATGAAGTAAATTGCATCCAAGAATTTTGCTCAGAAAAAAAATACACAATGTCTAAGTGCAAGTCAGATGAGTAATGTGAATGGATGAAGTGAACAGGGGAGCTCCAATCCCAGGGTTTCAGATTCAGTCTATCCTTGGGGGAGAGAGCCAAGAATCTGCATTTTTGACAAGTTCTTGGATTGTGTTCATGGTGCTGGCCTAGGGAATTTACTTTGAAGACTTCTCAGCGGTGGTCTAGGTTACTGTGGAACTTGCTAAATGACGCCTACCTAAGTCATACAGGTGGTGCAAACCAGGGTCTCAGAGATCTTCCTTAGAGTAATAGTTATGGTGTCAGTCGTGAGGGTAACTTGAGTATTAGCACATACATGCTCCCCCGGAGGGCATGATGCTGGTGTCCCCGTCTGGGAGAGCTGAAGGCCTGCAAACACTGTGAGGGTTTCTTCCTCTCCACCCAGAACGATGTCACAACTCGTTCCTGGGGTGGCATTGGTTTGTCAAACTTCTTCTATTTCTATAGCTAGAATCAGCCCTAAATGGAGGACTGGCATTTCAATCCTGGGTTTGGAGGAGACTGGGGTGGGGACAAGGCATCCTGAGTATGTGTTGCTTGCAGTCTTCCACCTCATCCCTGAAAGTCTGTGTCATTTGCATCTGGTTGGAAACAGAATGGAATTCAGGCCAACCACACAAGAAGGCTGCCTTGTTCTTGGATCCTCAGCCCCTCAAGTTCTGGTCACCCTACCCGGCACAGTGGAGTGAATAATACTTTTGGCCCACTGCAATGTGTGGAGCCCCAAAAAAGACACACACACACATCTGGCTGTCCATGTCAGAACAGATCTCCTGCACCACAACCTGTAATGGGAAGACTGTGCTCTTAGGCCCGACATGTTCAGCTGATGGCACTAATGCTAGCTGGGAAATCCTGACCCCACCCTGGCTCTGGTCTCTGAGCTAGAGGATTTGTCAAGGAATAATTTGGATGTGGCTAGTTAAAAAAAAAAAGAAAGAAACATGACAAAAACCTCCTTTATGAAAAAACTCTGTAACAGCTTTCTGAGGTTTTTAAACAAGTGAACTACTCTGTTCTTCACTAAGAAGGAGAATGGGGCATGTTTATTTGTGAAGGTTCACTTTCTTGCTAAATTGAGAAAAAGATGGAAAGTACATCACCATTTTATTCTTTGTGGGAAGAGATGACAGCTTGGTTTTGGGGGCATTTATTTCTCTTGAGAGAGTGATCTAATACCATCAATGGCTGGAACCTTTTAAAACCATTCAGAAACTTGAGTGGGTGTGGCAGTGAAGCGAAGGGTGTAGTGCTGCCATGTTTATGTAGGGGAAGGGCTGTCTATGTTTACTTGAGAGCCTGAGTTTAAGACAGTACTCAGCATCACTTCATGGGAAATAGATGGGGAAACAGTGTCAGACTTTATTTTGTTGGGCTCCAAAATCACTGCAGATGGTGATTGCAGCCATGAAATTAAAAGACGCTTACTCCTTGGAAGGGAAGTTATGACCAACCTAGATAGCATATTCAAAAGCAAAGACATTACTTTGTCAACAAAGCTTCGTCTAGTCAAAGCTATGGTTTTTCCAGTGGTCCTGTATGGATATGATAGTTGGACTGTGAAGAAAGCTGAGCACCAAAGAATTGATGCTTTTAAACTGTGGTGTTGGAGAATACTCTTGAGAGTCCCTTGGATTGCAAGGAGATCCAGCCAGTCCATCCTAAAGGAGATCAGTCATGGGTGTTCATTGGAGGGACTGATGCTGAAGCTGAAACGCCAATACTTTGGCCACCTGATGTGAAGAGCCGACTCATTGGAAAAGACCCTGATGCTGGGAGGGATTGGGGGCAGGAGGAGAAGGGGACAACAGAGGATGAGATGGTTGGATGGCACCACCAACTCAATGGGCAGGAGTTTGAGTAAACTCTGGGAGTTGGTGAGGGACAGGGAGGCCTGGCGTGCTGCTATTCATGGGGTCTCAAAGAGTCGGACACGACTGAGCGACTGAACTGAGTTAAAGCAAATTATTGTGCTTTAAGCCACCTCCCTCTATCCCTACCTTGAAGAAAGCACAAGTGACATACTCAGTTTTTGTAAGAACATGATTCTTTATAAAAATTTAATGATAAGGAAACTAGTTGTGCTTGAGTGAAGGACTGAATTACATCATCTCCTGCAAACTCCACCCCTCCCCCCCAACTTAATTAAGAGAAATTGTTAAGGAACTTGAAGAAAAGTCCCATCTCAAGTGACAGATTCCCACAGATAGTAACAGATCTCCCCTAGTGGAGGAGAAGAGATTATCTTAGTCTGGGCTTCATGGAGCTGATGAAAATGTTCTTTAAAGCCAACTCCAGCCATCTCTGGGACACCGGTCATCCAGTTTGTGTATTTCTGAGACACCCAAGCAAGCTCATTGTACTGGCGAAGCCCTTCTGTCCCCAGGTCACACATGCTTTTGGCCTTTTCATTAGCAGTGAACTATTCTGAGTCCAACAGGCCTCATGGAAAGGAAGAAGGTGGTAAAACCAAGTGCTTGAAGAGCTGCCAGAGGTGAAGTTCTCAACATTGGCACTAAATTTTCCAGAGGCTCCTGTGTGTGTGTGTGTGTGTGTGCGTGTGAGAGAGAGAGAGAGAGAGAAGTGAACTGAAGCAGAAAAGTCGCAAGTTAGGGTTAGCTGGACCTCTCTGTTGACTGTTGGTTTGCCTAACTAAAACCATCATAAGAATATTTACTGTAGTTTCTTGGTAATGTTGTAACAGAATGAAATCTGACAAAAGGTTTCCCCCTCCCACCCCGAATTCTTGAAACAGATCAAATAAAACATTTGAGGGTGGGTCAGGAAACTTTTACATGTTTTTAATTAGTTCATGGACTCTGCAATTCCTTCAGGACTGGGTTGGGAAATTATCCTGGGCAGTGAGGACCATGACATTATAGAGCTATTGAACTGGCCAGAAAGTTCATTCGGATTTTTCCGTAAGGTGTTATGGAAAAAACCCAAACAAACATTTTGGCCAACCTAATACATGTTATATAGCAATGACAAAGACTATACCCCAAGTTTTTAATCATCTCAAAGGAGCAAAATGAATCCAAAGGTTTGTAGAAAATGTAATGGCAACATAGTCTAGTATTCTTGCCTGGGAGATCCCGTGGACAGAGGAGCCTGGTGGGCTGTATATGGTCCATGGGGTCACAAAAGTTGGACTCAACAAGTGACTAAACCACCACCACCACCAAAGGGAAAACTAGAAGATAAAGAGAGGGCTTTTCAATTTCCTGTAAAACAACTTCAGAATTAAATTATTTTTTAAATTTTTTTTTGGAAAAGCTTAAACGTGTAAAATAAACAAGACATAACAGACTGCCCCCCCCCCCCCCCCCCCCCCGGCCAGGTACTCATCTTTCAGCTTCACCAATTATCAGCACATGAGCAATCTTATCTACATTCCCACTGATTTACTTCTCTCTCATATTAAGAAAACCTCTAAGTTAACATTTCTTTCCCAAATAAAAGCTCCTTTAGGGATGACCTTTATTCTGTCAGTACTAGAGATTCTCCAAAAGCGTAAGAATAGAAGGAAAATCAGAGGGCCCAGTAGTCCTGTCTCTCCCATTTGCTGCACCTTACTGCTACCACATGTCCATTTTCTGCCGTCTCTGACCTGCTGTGCCGGACTAGTGCCCACTAGAGACTGCATTCCTAAGCTCACTTTTCCTCACTCGTAAGCGGTGTTTCCCTTTGGAATTCAGATGTTTCAGACAAGGAAACACCAGCGGGAGATCTGAGGATGGGAGGAGAGAGGTTGTGGTAATTATTCCTTCTGGAGCCACAGCGCAGGTTCCTCCTTGCATGGTTCTGGAGTGGTTATGTCGTCTCCAGCTCCAGTTTCTATCAAGCCTCTTTTCTTCTAAGGCTACAAGTTTTGCTTCAGACCTAGGGTGTAAAAGCTGTCCCAGTGTTCTGGTCCCTGAGTGCATCAGCCCTTGAATTTGACCCACCTCCCCCAAGTCACCTATTTTAAAAAAATTCATTGACTTTGCACATAAAGCAGGTACTGAAGACTGTCTTGAAAATACCTGATTCCAGTCAAGGAAATACTTTGGAGAACACCTAAAGAAAATACCTTGCTGCCCTTTTGAGAACAAACAAGTCAATGACTCTATGTTTCAAAATAGTTTCTGAGATCTACACACTTGCTTTTCTATCTTCAAAAGCTAATCCATGGGCTGCTGAAGCCAAACTATCCAAATGGCTCAGGAGACCTCTGATCTTCTTGTACCAATGAGCTTAGATTTTTTAAATGGCCATTGATGGTAGTTGACCTTTTTCTCATTTCTGGTGAGCCTGGGACAGTCATGACTTCCTCAGTGTACACTGGGTGATGGTAGCTGCCTTATTAAACAAATACGAACAAGTTCCCTTGGTTCAAAGATGTTCAAACACGCTGTAGGGTTTGATTGGTGAGGACTTAAAGGAGAAACAGAATGTATTTTCAAAATAGAGTCTGTGTCTAATAATATGCCTTGAAGCTGGCTTAACACAAATTCAAGAGGTATAGGTATCTTAAAGAGACACTTAGAAAATGTTATCACAGCATTAAGAATTCCTAGTAAGATACTTCTTTTGTTTCCTTCTTTTCCTCCTCCTCTCCTTATTTCTTCCTTTCTTTTTTCCTCATTCCTCTCTTTCCCTTCCTCCCTCCCTCCTCCTCTCTTTTCTTCTTTCTGAGGGAGCTCTTTGGAGAGCCAAGCTCATGATGTTAATTATATACTTTATCAGGTTTGGTAAAACATATATTTATTGATATATTACTGTGTGCTGATCACTAGAGAATAAAGAGACAAATACACAACAGTTCCTGCTCAGGGTATTAGAATCCAGATAAAGAATTAGATGAAATAACTCTTGTGCATGGCAGAGGGGATGTCCATGCTAGAGATTTACTTGCCACTGGAGCAGCCTCATTTTATTGATCTTGGGAGAGATCCTGCTTCCTTTGCATTTATCAGAGCAGTGATGAGACCAACAAATATTAAATACTAGAATTATTAATAGAGGAGTATTGATTAAAAAATACAGTGTGCTCCCGGCTCTCTTCACTAGAGATTCTCAGTGATTAGCAAAGATGCTCGTCCCATTCAGAGATTTGCTATTTCCTCATTTGTTCAGTTATCAAACATTGACTGAGTGGCTGCTGTTTTCTTAGGACTGTGATAGATAGTGGAGATACAAAGATGAGTATTTTAATGGGCTTACAGTCTAACAAATAGATTTGTGAATCAGTGTCTTAAAATGTCAGTCACAAGTGCACTTATGGAAGTTTGTACAGAGTATAGGGGACATAAAGGCGAGGTTAATTCTATTGGAAAGAGGTAACAAATGCTTTCATAGAACAGTTCACCCTTGAATTGACTCTAGAAATGTGAGGAGATTCAGCAGATGGAGATGATGGTTGAAGGATGGGTGTGCAGAAAGGGATGAGATTCTAGGCATCAAAGCCACTATCGCCTTCATTGACGAGAAGGCTTATCTAGTGTCCAGGGAACCTATTCTTGTGATGGTTATGGGGTACCATGGCAAGAGGATGCCAAAGAAGTGAGCTGTGGCCAGACCACGGTGGTTTTCTATGTCAGGGGAAAGAATATGATTCTTTTTTTTTGTATGCCCCAGTGGTCCCTCCAGGTGGTGAGCACATCTTCTCTCCATCCTGCCTTTCAGGAGCTTGTAACCCCAGGAGATGCTGAGAAAGGTCCCTCACCTTGTGAGAGGGCAGCCTGTGCAGTCTTCCTGGGTTGGTCCTCGGCACCGGGCACACGAGGCTTCACAGATCTGGCAGTGGCCGTGCTCATCGACGTATTCTCCTGGGGAACAAAATCTAGTTGTTTATCTGATTTCTACATGACAGCAGCCATATCACTCTGTGGCTGTGAAAAAACAGTGGAGACAGTTCAGAGAGAAGAGACCTCGAATGGCTCAGCAACCAGTCCTAAATCCTGACCTTATGTTGTTGTTGTTCAGTTGCTAAGTCGTGTCCGACGCTTTGCAACCCTGTGAACTGCAGCACGCCAGGCTTCCCTGTCCTTCACTATCTCCCAGAGCTTGCTCAAACTCATGTCCATTGAGTCAGTGATGCCATCCAACCATCTCATCCTCTCGTCCCCTTCTCCTCCTGCCTTCAGTCTTTTCCAACATCATGGTCTTTCCCAATAGTCAGCTCTTCGCATCAGATGGCCAAAGTATTAGAGCTTCAACTTCAGCACCAGTCCTTCCAATGAATATTCAGAGTTGATTTCCTTTATAGTTAAAACTATTACTCTCCCAAGGGTCCCAGAAGTTAGAACGTCAAAAAGTTACGAGGCAGTGACATAATTCTGAATCTAGTCAACATGTGTTATAAATGTGTTCTATAAGTGTTATATGTGTTATACAAGTAGAAAGAGGCTGGGGTGGGGTGTCCTACAGGACCGCTTTACTGAGTTCCTACTAACTTTCCTGTTAAAACCTGAGGGCTTCTGGCCCACAGAGACCCCAGGTATAATCCTGGTTGAGGTCAAGCCACAGGCATAACCTGCCCAGATCTTGTCCCACTGCTCCAGAGGGAGGGGTTGATTGTGATTACTAGTCAGAAATGCCAATTGAATCTTGGCTGACATTGGACAGATGTGAGTTGCATCTCACCCTGAGAGAGTAGCAATAAGCAGATAGCCAGAGAAGTTCATCTTTCCCAAGGAAAAACCCATATGAGTCCTTCCCACATGAATGTTCCGTAAGAGTTTCACACACTTGGGGACATCTAAAAATTTTTTCACATGGCAAAGGCAGTGGAGAGAAGCCAGCCTTATTGCTGGTGATAATCCAATAATGGGTCTCCATTCATTGAATTCAACCCTTTATTCCCACCACATTGTCATTGTCTTAAAAAGAAAAAAAAAATGTGGAAAAATGTCTCAGTCAGATCCAAAGACCCACTTTGTATGATTTGGAAATTGATTACACCCAGGAAATATAGTTTCAGATTTCAGTTAAGTCACAACCTTCACTTGCCCCCTACCTCACTTCCAACTTTCACAGCCCTGTAAGCCTGTTGAACGTTGTCAGTTTGAGATCCGTCCAGCCAGAAGAGGGATGGGACAAGACTTGCCCCTGGTTAAGTCAAATGGTCTTACTCAAACTCCGAGGTCCACGGCCTGATTTATTGTAGTTGTCTTGCAAAAATCCCTGGAAACTTGAACTTTACTGATGAGGAGTGGAGTGAATCCACCCCTCTGCCTTTCCCCACAGCTTTACTGAACTAGCAGAGTTGGGTAAGGCAGACCTTACCTACATAAATCTTCCACTTGCTAGCACTAAACCCCAGAAGTGAAAATGAAGAGGCAACTAGAATTTGCCTTTACATAGCAGAAAAAGCCTTTCACAGAGACTAAGTCTATTGGTTTTGTTAATTAATGGGGAAGAATATATACTCAGAGCAGAACAGGCATCTAACAGTGGCCCACCCTGCTTATCTTGGATTCTTTTCTTCCTTGCCAGGATGCAACGTGGACCAGAAAAGTATAATTTTTAGAATGGGACTGTGGTTCTTAACCAAGGAGTGACTCCCAGAAGTCCTAGGCCCTAAGAGTGAGGAACCAGAGGGGGCAAAGAATGCAGATGTGCCTTGTTCACTGCGCTCAAAGCCCAAATCGTCTAGTTGAGGCGGAAAACCACCCCTCCCCCCAGGTTCATCTCACCAAGCCAGGCACTCTGGTGTGGGCAGCCTCTGCCTCTGTAGGGAGCACCCTTTACTAATTCACACAAAGGTGTTAGAATGGACTAGTTGTACTTTTGGTAATCAGCATCCTGAGGCAGAAAAAAGCTGGGATTTCTGTCTAGTAGGAGTGGTGGTTACAATACAGGCATTGTATTTCTGCAGCCTTCTTTTTATTTACTTAGGCTCCACCATTTCACCTCTTTGTTATTGCCCTTGCTGAAATCTCTTCCATTTTTGCTGAAGGAGGCACAGCCAGTTGAGCTGTGTGATTTTCAGTCCAGGCATCAGCAAGGTAAAGAGCAGAGGAGGACCCAGGGTGGACCAGGTAGGAAGAAGCAGATCATGCCTACATGGCCAATGAAAATGATCTGTGTTTACAGACTTAGGTGATAGCTATGTGTCTTTCAAAAGATGTGTGCTGAGTGCAACAGGAATGGGAGACAGTCACAGAGACTCCTAAACCCAAAGAAAGTGTGTTCTAGAGAAATGTAGGATCATGGAGAACACAGCTCACTCATTTATTCCATGGATATTTTTTGACCATCTGTGTGCCAGGTGCTCGGTGAGATTTAGATATGCAAATTTTAAAAGGCTCTTTTCTTGGGTTTGCAAAGATTTTTGGGTAGAATGATTTGTAAAGAGAAAGTTACAATACAAATACTGGCCACATGCCTTTGACTTCTTGGACAGTCTAGGTTAAAGTCTTAAACAGAGAAGCAAGGCATATGCTAGACTCTGCTAGACCTAGAAGCAAAGACCATCCCTTTGCCTTGGCACCCATGCCCGTAGGAACTGACGCAGTGATGTGGGTCTCCCAGCTCCTAGTATCCGTCTACCTTAACCTCCATGATATATCAGAGTCAATGCTAGGGTAGGATTTTAAATTAAACACACCTTGCTTGCTCTGCTAAATCGAATGCTACTTAGCTGGTTCTGAGAGTTACCCCATATCTATACCCAGAATCTCCTTTGTAATTACAGATGATGCATGGCTAGGTCAAGCAAGGGTTATCCAGTTATTACTGTGAAAATTTTAAATTATACTCTGTATCTGATTTGCCTCCTCTTTGGCTTCCATAAGCCAGTAGGTGGCACTGACAGCTTGGGCTTGTACTTCTTGATCTGCTCACCTATTATGGTCTCTCTTGGTGTTCACAGAATACCAACTTAGATATAATCATCACTTGGAGTTGCCCCATCTCTGAGATTTCAAGTACACACTCCCAACACAGCCTTCTTCTGCCCCACTATGAATCTAGCTTACCCTTAGGTGGAGCCCTAGGCTGCTTGGTCATCTTTTTCTCATTCATCTGTCTAGTTCCCCCTTGCATTCCTTGTTTGGACTAGGCCAACTTTTCCAAGACCCGAGTCCCACCCATTTCATCCCCACTCATTCTCAGAATGTGATGTCACTACCTAATTTGCTGTTAAGATACTGAGTATCCCCAGCATCTTATTATTTTTTTTTTTCTTTTTCAATGTCAAAATTTCTGTGTTACTGACTGTTCACTTGTTCCCTGTCTTTGAGGAAGTTAATGTTGTCCCCCCCCCGGCCATTGTCAACTCTCTGTCTAAAGCTCTTAGTCTTTCCTCAGGGTATTTCCCCACCAGTCTTTCTTTAGTGTTTTCTTCACGTCTCCCACCATCCTCTGATCTGTAAAAGTTCTCCCCAACCTAAAACCTTCCCAAGCATTTTTCTTCCCTAATAAGTGACTCTTCAAGCCTTTTCCCTCTTACCATTTGGAAACTAAATGGAGAAAACCTCATAACCCAGAAGCTTATGTAAGAGAGTCAGCGTAGGACAGCTAAACTGTTCATCTCTGTCCTGTCTGCACGCCTCTTAACTTGAGAGCAAGTTCTGGCTTTAAAACAGATGAGAAGAGAGGAACCTGCCCCATTTTTCATATTTATGTAGATATCCGATTAGTTACATAAACTACTACCCCCAGCCCTTGGAGGCACAAGAGTTCCACTGCACATTTGGAACCAAAAAAAAAAAAAAAACACACCCAGATTCCAAGAACGTAGTTACTTTTTTTTTTTGGTTGTTGGAACAATAAATTCTTGTCATCTGTCTTCATTGCACAATGAAGCTGAATGTTTATGACAGGCGTGATATACAAAATTCTTAGGAAAAATCCCTTCTAGCACAGACTTCAGGGGTCAGTATTTTTGTTCTCCACCTCATCCTATAAGCTCTTCCTTCTGGTGTCTTCATTCATTATTATCATGTCCAAATTATCTTTCTTCTGTCATCAAAAAATTTTCACTCTCCTTTTAGTTTCTTTCTCATCTTCTAATAGTGCAAAGGACACTGAGACAGTTAGGGTCTCCTGGTTGGGAATGATGTCTCTGCAGACACAGCTTAAAAATCAATACTTGTAAAAGTGGCTTAGTTTGCCTGTTCTACCTCTTGATAACATTGCAGAATGTGTTTATTTCAACAAGTCTAAGTTATAAATAAACTTTGTGAAATCATCCAGAATAGGTGAACATCAATTACATCCTCCACAGATACTAAATTTGGTTGAGACTCGCATGACAATATTTTTCAGACTTACGTGGGTCAGAAGCGCTTCATGTCTCCTGTGGAAATGCTATGCTTTCTTTTGTACCTTGTAATATTTCTTTAATGATTAGAGCCAAATTTATTGTAATATTTAAGCAAATAAATATATAAACTCAGTAAATTAATAAACACATAAGTAGATTATAACGTGAGTTTAAAACAACTTTTTATCAAGGGTGATTAATTAGAGAAAATCAGGAAGGACATTGGATAAGAAATCAGCCATTTGGTTTTTGATCCAGTTATTTCAGTGAGCATCCTTGGGGTACCTGAATTATCTGTAGACCTCTATTTAAGTGCCTTCGCACTCACATACCAGAAACCATAGAATGTGACCTTCCTGAATGTCTCTACAACCAGAAGTGCTAATTAAATAATACTGTTTCTCTGCAGGGATGTCAATAACTAGTTTCCAACTCACTGTGTGAAGATAGTTTTCATGAAAAAAATCTATATATTTATTGCGTTTCACCAGCTAAAATAAATATGCTCAGTAACACTTTCAACTAGTTGTAAGTTATATACTAATGAAATAGTTCAGG